AAGTGTCAGCTTGAATTAGAAAAGTCAAGAAGTGGAAAAACACAATGGAGAAGTATTACTGTTTTCAGCTAGTTGTTTTAATCGCTGTTTGCTTAACACTTGTAGGCTGATCAAAATCAGACGCTGAAATTGCTGCCAACTGTTTACTTCTCGTCTGTGAATGGGAATGAACTTGGTTTCCTTCATCATTAAATTCGATGGTAAGCTTCAATAGTTAAAGGCGTCTTGGAATGTGAATCCTTGATGGGATTTCAAGGTTACAAATACTTGAAATTCTCTTGATAATTGTGAAAACATTGGTCCTTATTAGATAAAAAGGGAAGTCCCCGGAAATGTTTAAAATCCTGAAACTCTCACATGATAACTTCATCAACAAAAATAAATATTTTGTTATGTTGCAAGAATGTTGAGTGACATCTATGCTTTCAACTTTGCATTTTGTGTTAGTGGGGTCTAGGAACTTATAAATGGCTGTCATTTTTTCCGAGTTCAAGAATTCAAGATGCTCTCTTATGAAATAAAACAAAGAGACAACCAAGATCACAGAATGCTGTGTATGTGCAGATGAAAGGGCTTGCTAGTAATATTTCACAAGTTTGGAAGAGGTAGAACATAAAAAGAAGGCTGAGGTAATAGGAGCAGGGACCTCAGTATCAAACCCGATGGGACAATGAAGAACGTGCAGGATCTGATGTGCGGCCAGCCTCTAATATGGGGATCCTTGTCTTTGGCATCCAAGCCCCATGTAGTTTCCATCTACACAACAGAACTGATACATAGGATATTGTGGAAGTGACAGGACTCTGACATCCAAGGCGAGAGCACAAACAAAAATTATGGTTTTGACCTTAGTTTTTTCCTTACTTGTATCTGTCTGTCTGTCTGTCTCTGTCTCTCTCTGTGTAGGTCAGAGAACAGCTTGAGGGAGCTGATTCCTTCTCTCTCAGCTCAAACTCAGGTTGATAGTGATGGGCAACTTTATCCTTTAAGCTATCTTGCCAGTCCCTCTGTTCAACTCTTATTCTTGGGGACAGCAGTCACCATTTCAAGAGGATATTCAAGCAGGCCATGAAGAAGCTCATATGGGGTGGGCCTAAAAGGCTTGTCAGCTGTGTGAGTGACCAGCCACGGAAGAGAGTAACCACTTCATCCCAATGAAGTCTTCCTTTGATTTTATGACTGCCATTTTGGCTGATATCTTGATCATGACTTCAAAAGACCTTTTCCTTAGGATGTGAGGACTCCTGCATAAATGCAGGCTGGGGACACAATACCTCACTGGGTGACGTTGTGACCGCACAGCATTGTGCACATGAATGAAATGTACACCACCACCACTCATAAACCAAATAAATCAAACATTAAACATCATTTTTAAAGTTTAAAGAGTTAAATAAAAATTATATGCATCAGTAGGTTACCAAAACAAATCTAGAAATCAATGATGGGTGAAAGTTTTACAGACTATAAATGATAAGATCTGTCTTAGAGTGGCAACCAATAGCAAGTGGCCAGTTGTCCATTTCATTACTTCCTGGAAAAAGTAGCTGTCTTCTTCACCTGGCAGCTCATTTCCTGGGTGGATAAGTCCCAATTACTCATGGGTGTTTCTTTAAAACGCAAGTGTTCTGCTCTCTAGAACTACAGTATGTAATCAGTCTATGTAATCATCCATGAATGTCCACAGCCTACCTGGGACTCACATGGCATGATGTTTTGCCCCTGTCTACTGCACATGTCACCACAATCAACTCCACCTCAGCATAGCACCAGGTTTATAAAAACAATAGAAAAGGACTCTACACCCCTCTGCTCCAGATGAAGAAATGTAAATTAGATGTTATAGTTAAGAGAGAAAAATACTGTAAGGGAAGTGCTGGTGCATGATTTCATTATGAAATCTCTATCTCTTAAGAGCTTTATTTTTGGTTTGGTCTGAAGCAGAGGTCTATCACTAGAATTTAATACACTCTACTAGTGGTTTCATGCTAATATTTTAAAACATGTAACCATCCAGGTAGCTAGCAGGACCTTTTGAATAATGGAAAGAACACACAAAAATATGCAGCCAGCTAGAAAGTGTTCTGCAGGCGGTAAAAACCACTGCCATCTCAGGGAGTGAGGCATGTTAGGGGAAATGTGGGAAAACCAGAGCCAGAGCAAAAACAAGGCCTTACAATGAGAGGCCTCAACAACCAGAGTTATCCACACCATCTCAGCAGCCTCATCCAGTGCAGGGGTTTGGTTTTTCAGAAGACCAAGCAAGGTAAAGGAAGAGATCGATGACGCTAAAGAAGAACAAAAGAAAGATTAGAGAGGGCACAGACTGACCTACCACAGAAACATGTGCAAGCTCAGCAGCTTGGTTGTTAACAACGCAAACACCAGGGAAATGACTCAGGGGAAGCTAGTCAAGAACACAACCAAAAGCATCCTAATGATGTGAGGAGTTGACTTCAAAAGCATAGGCCTCCAATCGTCAATGGAGGAGATGGGGTTCATTATGCACATCATGGTCTCCAAATGAAGACTATGGGGAACTTGGAATGGGTAGATGAGAAATGAACAAATGCCCCTAACAGCATTATTACCAAAGGAAATTGTTCTATTAGATATTAAGATGCTATTCCCTTTTTTGGGCAGTAGCTGTCCTAATTGTGAGGACGGGTACAAAATGAACACAATAAGACTCAAGTAGGCATGGTGGGGCATGCCTTTAATCCTAGCACTTGAGAGGCAGAGGCAGGTGAATCTTGGATTTTGAAGCCAGCCTGATCTACAGAGAAATTTCCAGGACAGCCAGGCCTACACAGAGAAATCCCATTTTGAAAAAATAACAAAACAAAACAAAAAAGAAAAGAAAAGGAGAACACTCTTTATTCCAAACATTAATTTCAAGATGGCAGAAGCAGGTCATCCAAACAAGCACAGTGCTTGTCTGGGCCTGGGTCTTAGATCTGCACAGATCAGATGCCCACATAGCTGGTTTGAACAGATTAAAAAGAAATCTAAAGGTTCAACTTACTTTCACAGAGTGAAGAACTGTTTGACAATATTAAGTAATATATTTTTAATAGGATATTTTTACTGCACCGACTATAACACACTCACTAATTTGGTTACAATAAAAATAAACTGCACTTTGGAGGCTGGAATCACTTTGACTGATGAACAATTGCTTGCCTATCACTGACTGAATAGTGCTTGAGCCATTTTTCTGAAAACCTCCTGGAACAACTGAAGGGACCCACCAGAGGGTCTGTGCATTGGAATGATGATCTGAGGCACACCTTTGATTGATTGATTGATTGACTGTTTGATTGATAATGGTCACCTATAGCCACATTCTATGTAAAAAAAGATTTTTCTGCAACGAAGAACTGAATATTACACATCTACTCCAGGCTTGGAAGTGACTACAATAATGTTCAGCTTTTTATTCTCTCTTTTTTCAAAGGGAAGTCAACATGTTTGGGGTTATAACTGAGACAGCTGTACTACACTGTTCAAATAATTTTTTTAAATTATAGAGCATTTTAGGTACCAAAGTATACTTTATAAAAAATAATGGGCATCCCTGAAGGCACCACTCAGCTCCTAAAGATAAAGCATTAAATTATAAAGCAAGTACCGTGGCAAACACCTGTCATACTATCTACTTGAGAGGCTGAGGCAGGAAGAATACTTGAGCCCACAAGCTCAAAGACACGAGCCTGGAGTCAAGACCAACCTCAGTAACACAGCAAAAACCCATGTCTAAAAGAACAAACACAAGCAGAGGCAAGTGGATCTCTATGAGTTCCAGGCCAGCCTGGTCTACATAGCGAGTTCCAAGCTAGTCAAGGCCACCTAGTAAGACCCTGTCTCAACAACAACAACAACAACAACAAAACAAAAAACCCAAAAAACTCAACCTAAACCAAACAAACAAAACACAAAACCAAACCAAACAACCAATGAAACAGGTCATTTCTGCCCCATCTAAAATTTAATTGCCTTTCCAATTTTTCTACACATCACCCCTGCATTTTTCAGTGTACATGTATTTATTCCTAATATATTGATACCAAACATAAACAACGCCATTGGTTTGTAATCCGTTTTGCTCATTTAACAAGAAATTTTCAGATTTATTCATGTTTTATGTAGTTCACTGCATCGTTGCTCCTAGGACTTACCAGTATTTCTTCAGGTCCGTCCTGAATCTGTAGTGGTCAAGGATAGCCAAGAGGCTAGAGGTAATATTGGTGCTGTGGATGAAGCCTGAGTGTGGAACGGGGAGGTCCATCTACGAGGGACAAATGGGACATAGGATAGGAAGGGAAGGATCTTGACAGCTCTCTTCAACTGGAATTCCGGTTCCAGAATTCCAACTAGAGTTGATTCTTCTGGCTGTGAAGGCTAGAACCTTACTTTCTTTACAGAATAGTTTGATTTATAACTTTTAAGTATTCAGACATAGAGTATGTAGCCTTTCGTGTATTTTTATTTTCTTGTGGCGCTGGTGATTGAACTGAGGATTGCACTGAGGACGCTGGGCAGGCGCTGTACATTGCACTATTCCTGGCCTTGGCATTTTTTTTTTTTTTTTTTGAATGGTCCTTACAAATGAGGTGGTCTGCCCTTTCCTTACTCACACATTCAGGCCACCTCTGTGTGAATTCGTTCTTGCCCTCCTCTCTCCACCAGCTGGGACTCTCTCAAGTCTGGCTCACAGGTCCACGCCAAATAGGAATGGAGACGCTAAGGAGACGCCAAGCCGAGATGCCTCACATTCAAGAGCCTCCTCCGAGCCACGCCTTCCCGCCGCGCCACGCCCACTTCCCGTGGCCCCGCCCACAAACCTCGTGCCCCTCCCACTTTGCTCGCGGCCCCATGGCATCCTGGGATATGTGGTCTTCCACGAGTCGCGGCCTCCCACGAGCGCCAGGCTCCGCCTTTCGCCCTCGGGACGCGGTGACGTTGCACCCCTCCAGTTCCTCGCCTCCCACCTCTTTCGCTCGGGCGAGCCTCCTCCGTCTCCGACTTCAGAACTCCTTTTACGACACTGAGTCTCTCGGAGGCAAGTCTCGGCGCCAGGTCCACTTTTCGGCAAAGTGACGTGGACGTCAACAGCAATGGCGGAAGGAGAAGAGCTTCTGCCACTGTCAACGTCGGGCGGGGACAGCTGGTGAGTGCGAGCCCAGGTTTAATTCCCCACGGCCCCCTCTCCTCCTGTTCTCCATCCTGCCTGTCCCGGACGTGCCGGCTGCCCGGGCGTGGAGCTGGGCACCTGTCCGCCTCCGGGTCCTCTGCCCCGCCCCCCTCTGTCTCCGGGTCCCCTCTGCCCGTGGGCTCCTGCGGCTGGGGCGGAATCCCGGGCACTCCCGGGTCGTCCCGGATCTGCGCCCAAGTCAGGTCCTCCCTCTTGGTCCAGCCGAGGAGGGTGGCTTCCACACTTGAGTTCGCCGAGTCCCTCGCCAGGGAGTTGGAGTGGGCGCGCTAAGGAGGAAGTGGCTGGATGAAGAGCTCATTTGAAACAAGGTCTTTGGAAATAACCAACGCAACCTTTGACAGTACAGAGGTTGGGAGACACACCCAGCAGCATTCCTCCTCCATAGTTCAGCCTTTTTTTTTTTTTAATTAATTTTGTTTGACTCCCAACAGTTTCCAACATTTGTCTTTCTCAAGTGTTATTTTTCCTTCCCATCACTTTCCTCACAACTTGATTGCATAGCTTTGGATGGCCTATTAGACTTTATTATCGTCTCTCCCAAGCTTTTGCATGTCTGCCTTTCTGGACCATGCGAAGATTTTGTTTTTGAAGGGACTCATGTAGCTCAAGGCTAGCCTCGAACTTTTTGTGTGGCTGAGGATGACTGTGAACTTCTGATCCTCTTGCTTTCTCCTGCTGGGTTATAGGCAAGCTCTATGCTACCTGGTGTATGTAGTGCTGGAGACTGAACTCAAGGTTTTATGTGTGCTAAGACAAGCAGTCTACCAACTGTGATACAACCCCAACCCTTCCAATACCTTTTGGTAGGCATTTTTTTTCCCACCCAGTGTCATTAATTATTGGCAAACACGTCTACTTTGGAAGTAGTTTGATCAGTTGAGATAAGTATATTGACCGCATGTAATACTCACGGATTTTTTTCCCGTTCACATTGTTTTTATATGGATCACTGGCACTGTTTACATAAACACAGTGAAAAGAATTGGTAGACATACTTTAGCCGGGCGATGGTAGCGCGTGCCTTTAGTCCCAGCACTCAGGAGGCAGAGCCAGGTGGATCTCTGTGATTTCGAGGCTAGCCTAGGCTACAGAGCGATGGAAATAGTTGAATGGGATAGATGATGCAGTAATTGAGACGTTCACCTCAGTGGACATCAGCATCTTAGTGCATGTTTTTTTCAGAGTATAGGAGGAAAACATAAATCTTGTTTCTTTCAAGTAGCTTATATTGGACTTGGGGGGACTGTGACAGGTACACAAAGTAACAAGATAAAGTTAATTTTGTTCTTTGAGATTGTGAATAAAAGTGTTATGGGAGTTCAGAAGAGGCAGAAACCACCTCAACATACATTACAAAAGCTTCATGGAGGCCCTGGTGTGTGAGTTAGACTCTGAAGAATTAGTAAAATTTACCTTAACACTGTTCAAAATAATTATAATGTGAGCTACAGAAGTAAAAAAATTTTCCCTTTGCCTCACTGAAAACTTTTAAAAAAAAGAGGTAAAATTTGACTGTATTTAAAAAACCATATCCAGTATGTTATTTGAACATGTACTTATTATTTAAAAAGGTTTTCACTTACATATTTATTTTGAGGCAGGGTCCCACTGTGTAGCCCTGGCTGGCCTGTAAAGGTCTATGTAGCCTTGACTGGACTCACAGAGATCCACCTACCCTGCCTCCCAAGTGCTAAGATTAAAGGTGTGCTCTACCACACCCAGCTTCAGTTTTTAATTTTTACCATATGAAAAAGCTCGTGTACGGTTTGCATTTATACTGAATTTCAGTTGTTCTAGCCACACTTCAAATATTAGATACTATGCATGGCCATCAAGAGACCAGAGAAATGGCAGAAGCAGGGGCTTAGGCAAGAAAACCAATGATTTGTTTGGAGAGTAATAACTACAACCATTTGCCTTAAGACAAAGATGGGTCTGGAAAATCGGTAAAACTTTTTTTTCCTCGGGCTGGGGAGTGATGCTGGGGAATCCAACCTAGGGCCTTGTACATTGTAAACAAGTATTCTACCTACACTGTGCTATATGGCCAGCTTAATGAAAAGATTTTAACGCATTATGGAAACCTTTTAAAATTAGTGGTATAGAACTTTCTAGAAAGTGATCTGTTTCTATCATGAATTTACAGTCTGGGAAGATTGAATTGTATTTTATATAAACTGCCTTTAGTCAGCTGGATTGAGGACTATAGGGAGTGAATTTTTCTGAGTTAAAGCTTTGTTAGGAAGTTCTTAGGTTGGGACTCTTATGTGTGTGTAGTTATGGGGCAAGGGCACTCTAGTGGATGGTTGCTAATGGTAGCATTTATTTTCTTAAAGGTCCCTTACAGTCTTTGTCTTAGGGTTACTGTTGCCATGATGAAACACCATGACTGAAGCAACTTGGGGAAGAAAGGGTTTATTTGACTTACACTTCCATATTGCAGTCATTGAAGGAAGTCAGGACAGGGACTCACACAGGGCAGGAACCTGGAGGCAGGAGCTGATGCAGAGGCCATGGAGGGGTGCTGCTTACCAGCTTGCTCCTCCTGGCTTGCTCAGCCTGCTTTCTTATAGCACCCAAGACCACCAGCCCAGTGATAGCATTACCCACTATAGGCTGGGCCTTATCACATCAATCACTAATTAAGAAAATGCCCTGCAGGCTTGCCTCCAGCCTGATCATGTGGAGGCATTTTCTCAGTTGAGGCTCCCTCCTCTCAGATGACTCTCGATTGTGTCCAGTTGACATAACACTAGCCAGCACAGTTCGTATATTCGGTGTGGGTTCCCACTTTTACTTGTTTTATCTCCAAGAATGTTTGTTGTAATTTGTAGTCTCACTCCATCTCTTCCGCCCTTTCTTCTCTCCAGTCCCACTCTTCCCCTGGCCACTTCCCATAGAGTAAGGGAAGACTTTGGGAGCCATAGATTAGTAAACCCACTTTTTCTTGAGTGCCTGGTCAATGGGGTTGTTACAAAATGGTTTTTAGTTTAGCTGTCATGTTTAATTTTAACTTTGTCATTTGTAAGGTTTTCCAAAGTGTATTGTGCATATTACCACCAAACTCATCCTTTTGACTGTGGATCAAACTAGGCTGGACATGGTGGTTTACTCCTAATCCCAACATTATTCACACAGGAGACTGGAGCAGGGAAGTTGGTGCAAGTTCAACCTGATCTACAGAGTAAATTTTAGAGCAGCCTGGGCTGCAGAGTGAGGCCCTGTCTCAGAAACCACAGAGCATGAAGGAGCCAGAGTGAGAGGAAGAAAGAGATGAGAGGAGGGGGAAGGAGGAGGAGAAGAGAGGAAAGAAAAACCTAGGGCCCTGTCCTCAGGCATTTATGATCTAGACGGAAGGCACATTTAAGACCATCAACTACAGTGGGCCTGGTTGGGCACGTCTTTAATCCCAGCACTCAGGAGGCAGAGGCAGACAGATCTCTGTGGGTTTGAGGCCACCCTGGTCTACAGAGTTCCAGGACAGCCAGGGATACTCATTAAGACCCTGTCTCAAAAAACAAAACAACAAAGAGAACATTGTCTTAGTGTAACACAATGAGACATTTAGGTCTTTTTTTGTAGCTGACATGGTGGATTAATGTTATTTTAAATAGCCCAGCACTGCTATCTCAGTTTGAAATTGCTTTTTACTAGTTTTTCCTGTCTTCTCTCTTTGTAGATAGTGAGTAGTATTCCAATTTCCTTTCTAATAAGTGAAACTAAATAGCTGAACTTGTTAACAATATGTATATACTCTTTAAAGGGCTCAGAAAGGGACTTTTTTTTTAAAGAGGTTGGAAATATGGCTTAGTGGATAAGAACATCTGCTGCTCTTTAAGAGGGATTGGATTCAGTTCCTAGCATCCACAAATAACTGTCTGTAACTCCAGGGAATCCGACACCCTCTCTGGCCTCTGCTGGCTCTAGGCTCCAGAAGGTACGTACACACACACACACACACACACACACACACACACACACACACACACACACACACGTAGGTAAACACTCATTCACATAAAAAGTAAAAATAAATCTTTAAATACATAGTTTTTTTTGATTATTACATCTACCTATTGACTGGTTTCTAGTTGTATTTTAAATCACCAGTTCTTCCCAAATTTTAAATATATATTGGAATTACCTTGGAGCTCCTTAAAAAAAATACAGACTGATTCAGATCTTAGGTGAGACCTGTGATTCTTTATTTCTGAGTAGTTCCTACATGACATCAGTTCTGTTTGTTCATGAATTGCACCTTAGCTAACTAGGTGTGGGTAATGTATATCTCAGAATGAGTAAGTCAGAGGATTTTTTTTTTTTATATTACGTTACATCGTATAACCTAGTAAGTTATGCTGTATTTTATCTAATCACATAGCTCTTTATTATTTGTTTATTTAACATTTTTGTGTGTATATGTGTGTTCATGTGTTTAATTTATTGTGTGTGAGAGAGATGTGTAGAGGTCTGTCAAGATTCTCTTTCCACCATGTGTGTGCTAGTTATTGAACGCAAGTAATCAGGCTTGACAGAAAGCACATTAACTGCTGAGCCATCTCACTTACTGCTTTGTAGATAGTGAATTTTTCAAAGGAAATGACTTCCAAGGAAATAGCAGGTAGCTTAGTAAATGTTGGTTGGATGAATGTATGTGAATGAATACAGACTTTTGTGTAACCATGAGCAATGTATACCAAGCTATCATTTCATATACATTTCCTAATGTTTGCTGGCTGGTATAATGCTCCTTCCTTTTGGAAAGCAAGGTGATCTGCTTAAGCTTCCCACCGCTCTAGAACCTCTGCCATGGAAGCTCAAACAGTGTGGTGAAATCCCTCATAAAATTGTTATAACTTAAGATGGTTTAATTTTTATAACTTTGGGGGGGCAGGAGGAGGGAAGAGGGGATCTTTGATTGGTGTGTAAAATGAATGAAAAAAAATTTCTTAAAT